TTTGAGACAGAGTCTCACTACGTTGCCCTTGGTAGAGTGCTGTGGTGGCACAGCTCACAGCAACCTCAAACTTTTGGGCTTAATCGATTCTCTTTTCTCAGCCTCCTAAGTAGCTGGGACTGCAGGTGCCAGCCACAGTGCCCAGCAATTTTTTGGATGCAGTTGTCATTGTTGTTTAGCTGGCCCAGGCTGGGCTTGAACCCTCCTGCCTCGGTGTGTGTGGCCGACACCCTAGCCACCGAGCTGCACGTGCCACCTTTAACTTGGCTTCTGAAGCCATCTATGGATTTCTGCAGAGAGAGCTACGAGATTAAAGGTTTAAAATGTTCATAGGCTCCTGATAAACATTCGTGGTAAGCTCAAGAATCAAAGAGCAGAATCCCCATCAGGATTCTGTCCCTTTCTATATAATAGACTCAGGTTTGGTTGTCTTAAAATGTCTTGATTATTTTAAATATTGTGTTCCACATAATGTAGTAACTTCTTTATGTAGTTTCCTCGAATGAAATTCTTCTGTCTTTTGTTTTCAGATGGGTGATCTACAATGACCACAAAGTTTGTGCCTCCGAAAGGCCCCCTAAAGACCTGGGCTACATGTACTTTTACCACAGAATACCAAGCTAAGCCCCCCACATCCAAATCGGCGAAAGGAAGCCATACACCATTTTAATTTGCCAAAAAAAAAAAAAGAAAAAAAAGAAAAATTGAGACATCCAGACGTGGAGGGATCCATGGAGTATTTATAGTTTGTTTAAAAAGCACCATCATTTGACACCTTCTGAAATAGACCTGGGGAGAAATTTCTATTAGGGATGATATACTATTGTAGATAGTTTTTATAAATGTTCAAGGAGAGGAGGATATTTAAAAAAAATATTCATATTGCTGGTGGAGAATCTGCCATCAGCACATCAAAAATGGCAATATTCCCCCAGTCCTCTGTTTTGCTTTGGGGATCAATGGTAGTGGCCCCCAGAGAAACTCATTAATGTGGCCAGTGGTCTGGCCTTACCCACAATAAGAGAAAAGCTCACTTTTGTTTCATGTAGAAAATTAGCCACTGGGTGGAGCTTTATCTGTGACATAATTTTTTTCATGACATACAATAATTTCTGACCTATCCATCCATGTGTAATATAGCATCTGCAATGAAAGATATTTTTAATTAAATCATATCAAAATTCATAATATGATTACGTGAATGTGTGTAAGAGTGAGTGAGAGTATGAGACCTTTTATTAGAAAAGTGAGTCCACTAGAAATTTTGCTGACTTGGTTTTTAAAGGCTAAACAGTTGTATTAAGCATATCTGAAAAAAGCAAGTAAATATGTAATGAAATTATAACTCAGGAACATTTAAAAAGATTAGTTCCCCACTTAGATTTGAAGGCGTAAGAAGGGCTAAGTTAGCCCTTTAAGTGCTGTCAGGAATTCAGTTGAGTTTGCGACATTGCTGGCCTAATGCCAGATGCCCACAGCAGCGTATACTGTACTTTGCCAAAGGTAGGTGAATTTCCATTTTCTCAGCAGCCCTTTCCCCAAAAGGTATAGTGTTCATTTTTAGTTCAAATAGCTAACTGGAATCGTGTTAAGTGCCCCAGATCTGTCTGCAGTTTTCAGTCTCTACATCCTCTGTCTGCCTCCGTGTCTACACTTTCTGGGGCCAGAGTCTCATCTCTGCTCCCCTTTTGTTTGTTACCCCCTAATTTGCCTTCACTGCTTACTTGGTGTGACCAACAGCGTGATCTTATACATTGTAAGGATTTTCGATGCAAAGAGGCATTTGTATGACGTTCTGCAAGACTACCTTCCCGTTTTGGTCATTTTCGGTGGTATTTGCCACCTGGGGTTAGGGTTTCAAATGTGTTGAAAAGTGGAATGATAGAGTTCTGTAATGTTCCTCTTACTCTTCGCCAAATCCTAGAGTCTCTGCAGTTCCTATTTCAGATTATTCAGACAAAGGAAAAAGGATTTATTGCTTCCTCCTTAACACATATTTGCTTGGTTGAAAGGATCTTTCTAGAAACTGTAGGAAAACAAAGTAGAACTTTCTGGGTGAAAAAAAAAGCACAGTGGATTGGGACGTGGTGAACTGTGGGTAGTCAGGAGTGTGGTTACCACAGGGGCGCCTGTGTCACAGGTCATCTAACTCTGTGCACGTGACGGTCGCGGTGTCGGAGGCCCATGGCCTGGGGACCCGGGTGCTGCCCCACCTGGCTGTGGACCTTGGGCAAGTCCTTTACCCTTCCTGTGCCTCACAGTCCTCATCTGCTCCATGGTGCGATGACACCTGCCCCCCTCCCTTTCCAATCATGCTTTGGGGACATGGTGAGATTGAATACCATGAGCCTTTACAGAGTGGAAGGCGGTGTGGGGTGGTGGCTCCTGGTGGAGGTGGCGTCCTGCCTTGTCTCATCTGATGTTTTCCTCAGTTTGGGAACTAATGTAACTGGCAGAAGGTGGGAGCTCATGTGCAGTCATTCTCTACTGAAGTGTGCCCACTGGAGCCACCGTCTGATGTTGACTGGAGCATCCTCAAGCATCTGTGTTCTGTTCCTCGAGTCGCTGGCTCCCGTGGACATCCCCATGCTAAGCTGCCTTACAGAATACAGTCCCCTTAGGGCTGAGTTGAATCATAGAATAATGATTGCAGACATGCATCAAAAATGGCTGGTTTCCATCGATGTTGCAAGGCAAAGGCCCTTTGTTTGGAATGGGGGGCGAGGGGGGTTGGATTGAAATGTGGACAAAGATAGCATCTGTATTTTGAAGAAAATAAAAATTTTATAATAAAACTTTGCAAAATGAATGGTGTAAAATCAACATTTGAGATTACAGTCTATAAATTATTTAATTTCATTAACCCAAACAAGAACTTTAGCCCTTTGAATACCTAAACACATTGTAGGAAATCATACTATGGCCACCTCACAACACAAAGGGCTATTTCTACAAGGCAAAGTTTTGGATTGAGAATTGGGAAAAACCGGAGCAAATAATGGGTTTCTTTCTTGCTTAAAAATGTATTTATATGTGTATCTTAATATATACAAAGCAGGTTTCCCTATGAAAATCTGGAATGTACCACTTAATTTTACATGGGTGTAGATGACATTATTTGTGACTGAGAACTGGAATAATGTGTGGATTGTATCAACTGATTATCAGCCAGTTAGGAGCCCTCTGTGTGAGGCATGTTGGTGTAATTGTGAACTTCTCACGGTACGAGTTTGTGGGTGTCTGTGGGAAAGGCAGCACTTTCTTCCTGTAAATAGCTTTTGATGTATGTTTGTGTAGAATCCCAATGTGAATGTGTCTTTGGAAAATGTAATGTATCAAAATTTTAACTTTGTCTGTGGTTCTAAATGCCCATTCAACAAATCAGTAAACCAGTTTGGTTCACATTGGGGTTTTCTTTTAAAGGAAAAATAATGTATGCAGAAAAGACTCTTGGAAGAATCATGTTTTAGCAACATTTTACATCAACCCTGCTTCAATATTTTGGAAACGATGAGGCTGCTTTCTTCCACCTACAAGAGAATGTGCCTGCCATTTCCCAGCTGCTCCCTTGGAGCTGAAATCCCGTGGGTAAAGCTGGAGCCTTTTGCTCCCTGTGTTGCTTATCCCTTGCCCGAACCAGAGCCTGACCTGCAGTCCATGGTGAGAAGGCCTGGTCAGCATCCAGGCGCCACCTGTCAGTGTGGTGAGGCCAAGGCCCTGTGCCTCTCTGGGCATTTTTCTTTGTAATGAGAGGGTTAGATTCGATGAGCTCAGAAGTCCCGTCTGCCCCTAAAAGTCTCTTCTGTTTTTGTAGGAGGGATCACCTAGAGGTTCAGACCTTATGTTTGTGAATTGTTACAGCATCTACACTGCAGTTGAGGACCTGTGTCATTCTTAGTGTCCCTGTCCCATTTCTTTTTCTGCTTTGCTTATCTTTACTTTCTTTGGTCATCATCCCATTTTTTTTCTACTCTTGAAACTCATGACTTTCCAATCCATGAGGTACTTTGCCTCCTTCCCCCTCAAAATTAAAAAAAAAAATCCATTTAAAACACCTCCTTAGAAAAGGCTCAAAACTGCATTTAGCTAAATCTGTCACATTTATAGAGTATTTTAAAATTCTAGGGGAGGGCAGGGAAGGAGTCCTAATTCAGTTATAGCTGTGATCTCCGGATAAAAGTTGTCTGTCCCAGGCGGGATGTCCTTTCATCTTGGAGCCATCACTGTTGCTAAATCCCATCAGGACTCGGGGATGGGGTCAGATAAAATGTGACTCTGTCCTTTTCTTTAAAGAATTCTATCCTATCCTGTCCTTTGCTTTAAATCCTAGGTTGCAGAACATAGTCCTATTCTCTTAAATTTGTGTAGAAGATCACATCCATGGTGTCACGGAGATTTCCCACTCAGCAAATCCCCCCAAAAGAGTTTGCGTCTGCTTCACCAAGCCTGTGCCATTTGCTCTGGTGGGCAAGAGCCCTGTGTGGCAAACGGCCACTTGAAATTTGGTGTTTGAGATTGTGCTGTACACATGAAAGACACACCAGATCTCAAAAGGCTTGGCTTAAAATATTTCTCCAATCTTTTATATTGATCACATGCCAGAATGACAATATTTTGGATATACTGATTAAATCAAATATTTAAAAGTTTAGTAAATATGATGAAAGTTGTTTTCACCTATTTTTGTCTTTTTAAAATGTGGCCACTAACAAATTTAAAATTAGATGTGTGGCTGCCGCTGTGCTTCTACTGGCCATGCCCCTCCAGACCTGCGTGGTGTGGGGCAGGCGGTGACATCCCACAGGTAGGAAAGGCCACTCTGTGAGGCATCCAGATAGAAGCAACACAAAGGTTTTTGCTCAATTCAAGAGCACTGGGAGGCACGTAGCGCCTCTCAGAAAGCAGATTTTTCTGCATAAAACCCAGTATAGACATGTATGATCCCAATTAAAAAAACATAAGCACATGAGCCCCAAACTGTCACCTTTCGCCTTGCCTGGGAGTTACTGTCTCTGCTCCTCTTTCTCTGGCATCTGCCAGGTGCCAAGGGTATTACCACATCAGGGTGTTTGGCATCTTTGTTTCATTTTAGGCGACATTCTCTTGTGGTTTTCCTCCCCGGGTATTTTGTAGTCTGTTCCGAGCTGGCTGTGTTGAATCCTGTGCCCTCCCTGTGCCACTCTCGGCCTTGAGAGGCTGAGCCTGTTTCCTGTGCCCACCTGCCCAGCAGGGTTTGATGCTGGCTCCTCAAAGAGTTTGTATTTGTTTAATTTTGCACTAGTCACAGTTGTTGTTTAAACTATATAAAATGTTTTGGGAGAGTATTTGCCTGTGATGAAAAGAGAGATGGATGATTTATTGCTTCAATCGTTTTAAATTAAAAGCTATTCTCACAATCTGAGGTTCCTTTATGGCTCTTTTTTTCTTATTTCTTTTTTAAAAAAAAATGCCTAGTAAACTGATTCTGCTGGTTCTCATTCACCAGTGGAACAGGGAACTAGAGACAGTGACTAATTTTGTTTCTTTTTAGGGTTTCTGGGTGTAGCTGGGCAGCCTTGGTGGCTCTATGATCCCCATCCTTGGTGAAACTTTGGCGGTGGCACGTCATCACCTCTGAGGAGGTGGCAGGGGTCAGGTGGCGGGAGTCTGGTGCCTTAGGCATCTCTGGTGTCAGGTCACTGAGTGGAAT